CCTTCCTCCCCTCGCCCCCCCATCCCTTCTCTCCCCGTCCTCACCTTTCCCCTGTCCTCCCCCTCTCTCCGCTTTCTCCCTTCCTGCCCCCTCTCCCGTTCCCCTTCCTGCCCCTCGTCTCCCTTTCCCGCTTCCTCCGCCCTATCTCTCCTACTTCCCCTTCCTCCGCCCTCCTCGCCTTCCCTCGCCCATTCTCCCCCTCCTTTCCTTCCCCTTCCTCCCCCCTCCACCACTTATCCCCTTCCCCGTTCTCCTCCTCGCCTTTCCCGCTTCGAATCCTTTCTGGTCCTCCTCCTCACTTCCTCCCCTCCCTCTCCCATCCTCCGCTCTTCCTCCCCCACTGACATCCCGTGATTCCTCACTTTCATGATGGAAGAGCGATACGACCCGGGAGTGCACCTTAATAGATCAAAGTGCCCCCTCCCTCGCCCCTTCCCTCCCCCTCCCACCTCTCCCCCGTCTCACCTCAACCGACCCCACCCCTCTTACCTTCGCCCTCGCTTACTCCTCTCTGCCGTTCTGCATTCGCCCGCTCCTCGTTCTCTCTCTGTCTGTGTCTGTTGTGCTCTTCTCATTTTCTTTCGTTCTCGTCTCTTCATTTTCACTCCTCTCTTCTTTCGTTCTCTCTCTTTCTTTCTTCCATCTTTCTCTCTCATCTCCCTCTCTCTCTTCTCTCCTCTTCTCTCTCTCATCTTCTCCTCTCGTCTCCTCTCTCTCTCGTTCTCATCTCTCTCTGCCTCTCTCTCTCCTCTCTCCAGATCCCTCTTGTCTTCTTTCTCTTCTCTCTCTCCGTCATGTCTCTTCTTTCTTTCTTTATCTCTCTGCGTTCCACTCGGAGAGGTCTGATGTTTCATTTCTCTGTCGTGTTCTCTCTTTCTCTCTTTTTCTTTCTTTCTCTCTCTGTCTTCTCTCCTCTCTTCTCTCTTCTCTCTCCCATCTCTCATCTCTTCATCGATCGATCTCTCATCTCGTCTCTCAGTCCTCTCTCTCTCTCTGTCTCTCTCCTCCCTCGTCTCTCTTCCGCTCTCATCTCTTCTCCCTCTCCCGCCTCCGTCTGTTTTTTCGTCTTTCTTCTCTCGCTGCTGTTTTCGTTCCTGTTTCTCTCTGTTTCTTCTCTTCTGTCTCCTTTCCTTCTCTTCCTTTCCTTGCTTTCCCTCGCTCGTCGGGTCTTTTCTTTCGACTCTCCCCTCTCATATACGAATATGGTAAAATAAATAAGAAATGAGAATAATATTGCAAATATACAGAGAACTGATAATGAAAATACTGAAAAAGTCATATTAACAATAATGACAATAATAGTGATAATGATGATAATAATGAGGGTGATAATAATAGGGAAATAAGTAACAATGATAGCCATTATAATGATAATGAAAATGATAACCATAGTAATATAAATAATAATAATAATAGCAATAACAATGATAGTAGTAATAATGATAATGATAATAATGCTTATAATGAAATAATAATAACTATTGATAACAAGGTTAATCAAATCAAAGCATCCAAAAACAAGCATTTATTCCTCTAAGATGCTACACAATTTCAAAAAGAAAATTAGTGTCGTCGTCGCACATATCTATATCTATTTATCTACTTATCTACCCGTGAAACCTACCTATCTATCTATCTATCCGTGTAATCTATTTGTCTACCTATCCGTCTTATCTATCTATAATTTATCAATTTACACACACACACACCTATATATATATATATATATATATATATATATATATATATATATATATATATATATATATATATATATATATATATATATATATATATATATATATATATTATATATATAATATAGTTATATATATATATATATAATGATTTATATATGTTTATATATTTATATATATATATATATATATATATATATATATATATATATATATATATATATGTATATATATATATATAGATAGATAGATAGATAGATAAATAGATAGATGTTTATGTGTGAACACATAATTTTTTTCTATTTTAATTATTTTATACACACATACGGCGTGCATACGTGCGCATGTACGATTGTGTGTGTGTTGTGTGTGTGTGTGTGTGTGTGTGTGTTGTGTGTGGTGTGTGTGTGTGTGTGTGTGTGTGTGTGTGTGTGGTGTGTGTGTGTGTGTGTGTGTGTGCGTGCGTGCAGAAACACATTCGCTCACCATTGCACAAATGCAGGACCAGTCAGTCATACAAACGCCAAAGCCATCGTTAATTTTTAACCCATCATAAAGTTATATTAATCTCGGGTTTGTCTTAGTTTTATTACTTAATGCGATTCCGTGTAATCTCACGAGGAAAGTATACTGACATATAAATCCAAGGCCAAATATACATTTTTTCATCTCGTGGTTTTCCCCACATAAAACATATTCTCTTACACATAAAACGAAAATTATATTCGTTCTTTCATATTTTCCCTCTGTTTTCTCGGTCATTTTGAATGAGGGAGGAAATTGATTTTCAAAAATCCCTCAGATACGAACGCACAGTTGCAGTTTGTTTATATTCTCAGCTGATCACTTCAAGCAGAAAAGCGAGAAATTCAAAGGTAATAAACACGTGTCAGCATACCCTGTTAATGATATTTGTTAATTATCCAGTGACTTACGGCAACACATGAGTAAACCTGATTAACAGAAAAGTAATAATTATTTCTCTTAGAGGCTATATATCGAAAATTACTTTGTGTAATGAAGGTTTCGTCTTGTTTGGCCCCTGACTTTATTTCAGTTTATTTATAATAGTATGATGGTTGGTAACAAAACAGGGACCTGTAGCTTGCTCATGGGAAGTGCTGTCCATTTGTAGTAGTTCTATTCAGTGCTGATCAACTGTATATACCTGGCAGTATTTCCCTCATTACTAGATATACTAAAAGCTAAGGCAATGCTTGTTTCAACGCGCCATCTATTATATGGAAAGTAATATATGCAGACTATAGAGCGAATAAGTCTAAGAAATTTATCTTCTACATACTTCTGTTGCGATTAAAAGTTAACAAAGGTATTTGACACACAAGCGTCAGTGAAGCCCTGAGGCTCGTTGAGGTAGACCCTGTTGAGACAAGTGTCAGTGGAAGTGAATAGGAGCACACACACGTAGTGGCTTGCAGCTGGCCTGTGGCGCGACTCAAGATCACCCTCACAGTCGCCCGACTGCTCTGCGACTCGAGGTACATGTGTTGTTATGCGGCCGAACACATGGCGACAGCCACTGCGTTCTCATGGTGATGGCACGACTTATTGGCTGGAATGGATGGGATTCGACCAGTTAGAGAGCATCACGTGGAGAGAGGCAGACAGACAGGCAACAGTTGCTGCTGCTTCCCCCAGCCAAGAATGGGGGAGAGACGAGTCGGGCCACTGTAAGCGCCATGTGTGAACATTCACCAGTAGTTGCGCTTCTAAGAGTCAGGCCAGTAAAATCGTCTGAAGGTACAGAGTCCTGTACCTTCAGGCAATGGATCTTCAAAGTAAATTGGTCATGCTACTTGCTCAGTCCCAATGGGAGTCTTTGGTTCATGTTGGTTTCATTGACTATTATTGATACTCACATGTGATACTCACATCATTAAATTGAAAGATCTGCGTGTTTTCTTTCTTTGTTTGTTGATTTTTACTACAATATCCCCTGGATTTTTTATGCTGCCACCAAATATCAGGGCCACTATTGGCACTATACTTAGTTAGTGTTAAGTATAACTGCTATAAAACTGTAAAAACTATACAAACCATGAAAATGCTAAACTTCATAAGCAGACATCATTACCAACATTACTGCAGGTTAATTCTCATTTAGTACAGGCATTATGGCTTGCCCTATTTAGAGAGATGATAGTAAGGTTATAGGTCTGCAGATGTTCCCAAGAGTAGGCCTACACAATAGCAAGGGAACAGAAATTTAAGTATAATACCAAGTGACCAGAAGTCTAATGCGTTGCTGTAATCATATTCTTTACATGTATATCAGTCTTTTTGCATTATGAATTCATTTAACATAAGCAGTCTTATATGTCTTGTGAAGGTGTCTTCTAGTTTTAATTAGCTCTATCATAGCTTTCTTGGTTCATTTGTAACTATATTCTGGTTCATGTTCAAGTTTATCTAAGCCTATGATATAAGGAAACCTTTTTTTTTTCTTCTTCTTCTTCTTCTTTTATTCCCAAATATTTCATAACATAACTAATAGTAACACATAATTTACAGTTTGGATTCTTTAAATAGCCTCAGTTTCATATTCTCAGCCATGAGTGTGTCCAGTGACCAGCCAGATGATGAGCTCACTATTCCTCGAGCGGCAATGAACAAGATGATCAAAGAGCTCTTGCCAAACGTACGTGTTGCCAATGAGGCTCGGGAACTGATCCTGAACTGCTGCACAGAGTTTATTCACTTGCTGTCCTCAGAGGCTAATGAGATTTGCAACCAACAGCAAAAGAAAACCATCAATGCCGAACATATACTAATGTGTAAGTCATCATCTCTTTTTTTGCATTAGAAATTCATATATCAGAATTCAAGGGCAAAACTTTAAGCCATGATAAGTTATTGGTAGAATAGCTCATTTTATGGGTTATCAATAAAGGTAAGATTGATTTCATATGTAAGACATATGATTGTAGCATCTTTGTTTAAAGTTTTTCTATACATTACCAACTGTCAGCTTCATTACGATAATATTTTGTTTTTTTATTATTCAAATCATGTAAATTTTCTACAGCATTAGATAAACTAGGTTTTGGTGACTATAGAGCGGATGCAGAGGCTGTGCTCAAAGACTGCAAAGCAATGGCAGCCAAGAAGAGAAGAAAAAGCACCCGCTTAGAAAACCTTGGCATCCCGGAAGAAGAATTACTTAGACAGCAACAAGAGCTTTTTGCAAAGGTCAGTTTTAGGATGATTATTAGTAACAGGTGGTATGTAGAATGATTATTTTCATTTAGTTTATTGACATCTCATACCAGGTAAAGGAAAAATTTCCAATGTTTCTTTCTTTTTTCTCTCCAACATAGGCACGAGAGCAAGTGGAAATGGTTGAACAGCAGCAGTGGCAGATGCTGCAAGCACAGGCAGCAGCCGCTCAACAGCAGCAGCAGGAGCAACAGGCAATTGATGAAGATGAAGATTATTCTTAAACTGTAACCCCAAACCAGCTGTCAGATTTTACAAAGAAGTCTAACCATATTATTGTACTTAAAGTTAAGTTCCCAAAAATATGATTTTGTAAGGTATATGGAATTTATTTTCTGAATTTGGTTTTGTGGATCTGCCAGCTGGGAATATACTTTTCCCAGATACAGATTGTGATTTGTTCCCACAGACTGGAGAGATAAAGATACAAAAGTATATCAGGAAATTTGATTAAACATGAAATAATGATTTATGTTATGCATAACTATAAGGCTGGGATATATGTATCTAATGAAATCAAATGTTGCTCCATTTAACTGATTCTTTAGTTATGACAGAAAGAGTGAAAAAACATTATATGTTTATCTTCCTTTTTTCTGTGGATGAAATTGTTTAAAAGCTGGTCAGTGTATATTCCATCACTGTATGTAGTTCTATGCATTACTTTTTTCGAGTTTCAATGTGGTTTGATTTCTTTCAGAGTCTTTTTATCAAATAATATAGTAATAATGATGTTCTTATTTTTTATTACCATCTGGCAACTAAATGATTAAAGTAATTAATGCCTGATTATTTGCTAAGCAAAGTTTTTGCCTCACAAAATGATCAGGCAAGTTTTTTGAAGAAATTTTTCATTCAGGTGACATTTTATGTATAAGAGAAAGTATTACCAGAAATTTACTTACAAAGAATTTGTGATAAGAGGAACACTTAAGTATACCAATCAGTATATTACAGTATACTATGATATTTGGTTAGATTTTTCTTTTTTATAAGTCGTCATTATGGTTTTTGGAAGTTCATTCAGATGTGTTAGACTTACTTTTATAATAAAAAATTGATTGTTACACAAGCAGTTATATATTATTTTTCAATAAAAGGAAAATGTAAATGCTTTCATGTAATATTTACCTGTAAACCTTACAATCATATGTAACATACTGAATTAAGATAATTAAATACTGTAAGTGGTATTGTAAAATTAAGATTAATATTTTGAGGTACTTGTTTTCATCAGTATTCTTTGATACTTACACTACTTTGTGTATGTGTGTAGGTGTGGGTGTGGGTGGGGGTGTGTGGTTGTGTGTGTATGTGGATGCATACATTCGTGCAGGGTGCCTGCATGCATATGATTTATTGTATAATGAGAGTTAAAATATATGTGAGTATTAAAACAAGTAAACAGTGAATGAGCAAGAAAAAATACCATTCTTGGCATTTTATAATTGATAAGCTCACAAATAACACATGTAAATCTTTGCACTGTTATTCCACTTTGCCTAAAGTAGAAAACATCTAAGAAAATAATTGAAACATGAGTTTTTTTTTTTTTTTTTTTTTTTAGATGTTTAAATGGTAAATGATTATTAGATTTTATATCTTGCAAGTGATAACTTTTGCCAGAGTTAGCTTTACCAAATGAGATAATATCAGTGATATTATGAAAAGCATACATATTATTTTTACAGATTTATTATATGCTAGTAATTATTATCAATATTCACGTTGGTGTATTTTTCCTACATTTCATCAGTTAGTAATATTAGGTAAAAATAAGAGAGGCATTTATACAATGTTTTATTTATTCTTAAAAGTCATATTCCAGGACTTCTAACTTTGTCTCAAGGATTATATATATATATCACTCTGTCATTAAAGATTCCCTTTTGCATTACATATGTGGAAGCAATAAAGACTACTTGGAATTCAATAACATTTCATGTCTGCAGTCATTAGTCTAGAGTACAGAATGGTAAATAGTTACAAAGCAGAGTAAATGTGCTAGACATCAAAGGTCACATGGCAATATAGAAAGGTGTAGTAGTGTTGGTAGTCACTTTGAGTGTAGAGGGAATGGGAGCAAAAAGACTGGGGCATGGATGAGGTGTAGGCATGTGTAAGAGAAGTTATGGAAGCCTCCAGTGGAATGGTGAAGCATTGTAATTGTGCTGCATCATAATCAATGAGGCTGGTGAGTAAGTTTGGTCCACAATCTTTATCACAGAGCAGGGCATGAATGAGTTTGCCAGTGAAGTCAAAGTAGTTCATGCTTTAGCTTGGTTTTCGGATGTAACTGTGACAAGGTAGGAGTGATTGGGGTGGCTGTGGAAGGAAACTTTGCCTACTTGTTTTTGGAGGCATTGTTGGAAGAGGAGTATTGTCAGAGTAAGGAGCTGTAGAAGGAACCACAATTTTTTTTTTATCCTTTCTTGCTTGGCTAGACAAAGTACTCAAAAGGTTTGTAGAGGTGGGGGTAGTATAAGGATGGGGCCTTGTGGAAGAGGGAGTGGTTTTGAGTGAAGTAATAATGAGGACAGTAAGCATTGAAGTGGGGTAATAGTAGTTTTCAAAGGGGAACCTGGAGTTGGGAACCAGGGGAATTAAAATCAGTGGAGGATGGGGGGTGGAGGGAACTTAAGGAGGAAGATGATATCTGCAAATACTTTAAATGTAGGAGGAGTAGGAACAGAGGCATTGGGGGGTGGATGAGGGAGCAGAGTGTTACCTTGGTTCATCTTTAGGAAGTTTTGGATGTCTTCAAGGGTTTCTAGAGGAGAGTTGGGTGAAGAGGACTGTGAAACAAAGGTTCTCTTGTGAGGAGGAGGAGAGGAGACAGATATCTGAGGAGCAAAAGAGGAAGATGTAGGAGAGGGTGGAGGGGAACGTTTAGGAGGAGGGGTAGGTATCAGGGAAGTGGTAGAGATTGGAGTATCTGGATTTAGACTTGAAAATGAATTTGACCATAATTGTGACAAGGCGTGAACAATCAGAGGAAAGTAACCTTACCTTACTTGTTTTTGGAGGCACTGTTGAAAGAGAAAGGTATTCTCAGAACTGATCCCACTTGGCTGGGCCAAAGACAGTACTCAAAAGGTTTACAGAGATAAGAGGTAGTAGAAGGATGAGGGCGAGAGGAAGATGGGGGGGGGGGGAGTGGAGTAGTCCAGTGGGGAGGACAATAAGGATGAAGAGTAGTAATAAGGGAAGAGGGGATAGACATTGAAGAGGACTGTGAAGTAGATGGAGAAGAGAATGTTGGGAGAGAGGAAGGGGTGCTTTCTGGAGGTTGTAGTAATAACCTGGGTGGGTGTTTTGGAATTGATAGATTTGTCAGTAAGCATCGAGGAGGGGGTATTAGTATCAGTGGTAGGTAGGCTAGTTGATGAAGGTGCAAGCCTTAATGCCCTTATTAAGGGTAAAGAATCTTCATTATTGGCTATGGTGAGCCTGAATAAAATGGGGTAAAGAAATGGTACCCAAGGGTCCCCATAAGGGATAAGGGCTTGGCAATTAACCAAGGGAATACTGTGCCCATGGCTCCCAGAGGCCATTCATGACTGACACAAAGCCAGCCTTTCATCCTTCCAGCATGGCTCCCATACCTTAGGAATGGAATAAAAGAGGATGGACAAGATATGGAAGAGGAAAAGGGAGAAGAAAATGCCAAGCAAAATTATTTGAGGTGAGGGCTGAAACCCAAGGTAGGGGAGATTCCCTGAGCCTCAGTCTCCATCTCCTAAGTCCTCCCATGACAACAACGAGCAAGGTATTGGGAGGGGGGTTTAGTTGATAAGGGGGCAAGTCTCATTGCCCCTAATTCTTCATTACTGGCCATAGTGAGCCTGAAGTATGTTGGAGAGAATAATAGTCTAACCTCCAGTCAAGCCATTAGGGGTGAGAGCTAGACAACTAAACGAGAATACCATGCCCATGGCTCCCCTAGGCCGTTCATGACTGGCACGAAGTCAGCCTTTCATCCACAGCTGTAACATCTTAGAAAGTGGATTATAGAAGTGGTTAGAGAAGAGAAGGAAACAGAAAGGGAAGAAGAAAAGACCCAAGGTAGAGGAGATCCCCAACATTAGGTCTTAATCTCTGTCTCCTGAACCTCCCCATGACAACAATGAGCAAGGAATTGTTAGGGGTCTAGAATTATTGTTATTAGACTATAGACAAAGGAATCATACAAATATATACCTGTTAATTCAGTTTTATATATAGATTAAAATAGGCAGACAGATGGTTTGCTTGTGCTCGTGTAATTTATATGGTATCTTTACATCTCAGATACATAGGGCTGATAGTGATAACTACATTTTCATCAAATAACCTGTTTTTTGCTTTACTATACTGAGGATGGCTGATAACAAAATTGAAGAAATTTAATTCATATTATCAAAATATGCATAAAATTATCAAATTAATATATTAACAGACTAGCCCGTTGTTTGGTTATTTGTTTCTACACTCAGATGGCTCTACAAACACTTGGTAGCTAAGAAGTCAATTCCTTGACCTACTTGACCTCATCTGTTTATCCCAATTCTTGAATTTTGTTGATAATACCTTTTATTTTAGTTATTTGTATTAGTGTTACAAATGTTGTTCCCAAAAATTTAAGAAACAGGGTATTAGTGTTACAATTATTGCTGTTGTTGTTATTATTATTAATATTATTATCCTCATTATTAACATTATTATATTATCAATTACAATCAAAATAGTGGTAAAAATGAAGATTTTTTCCCAGAAATTTGAGAAACGGGGTAAACAGGTGATGTCAGGTAGACCTAGCAATTGACTTCTTTTAGTTGAAGTCATCTGTGTGTAAAAGAAAAGAAAAAAGAAAAAGAAAGGAAGAAAAATCTTAGTGAATAGTGCGCGTGTACATGTACTTTTGGTTTCACTGAACTAAAACAAAGAAGTATTATCATCTGTCATATGTACAGTCCATTGGTGAAGTCAAAATAACTTTACAGATATACTAACATTTTTATCACTTCTCTCTATCACGTCTTTAAATAATAAGTTGCAAACTTCTTCCTCTCCATGATGCAACAGGTTATGCAAAATTGCTAAATAATAATAATATCCAGCTTAGCCTACATATTGTCTAATTGTCTTCAATTCATTTCTGTAAAGAACATATTAACATTTAAATATCATAAAAGAAATGATTAAGTATCACTCATGAGAACCTGAGTCATTCTTAAACTATGACCATCTCATTAAATCAAAACATATACAGCAGTTAATGCTTTATCTCTAATTGCAAGCAGTCATGCATATATGTTATCCCATATTTTTTCCAGATTTTTACACATATGAATAAAATTTACAGCAATATTTATTTGATATTACTGCTACACATCTGTTTAGTCTTCACTATGTATGGAGTAATCTGAACTGATGCGTTAGCAGAGTTTTCATTATGACACACAGAGTCAGCAGACGTTCCTTCACCAAATTTGGCTCTTTCTGCATAACACCTCTTGTTATGAGTTACTTCACTATAGGCCCTACGAATACCTAATGTTTTTTGCTTGTGCATAGATCTGTGAACTGGTAAAGTTTTAGACAGAAGATGATTGTTCAGATTTGCAACTGGTGTCCTGAAACTGTTCCCTCTGGGTGAGGCTTTTACGTATGGTTCATTTTCCCACTTGAAGAAAGTACAGCATCTTTTCAGATTAGACTTTCCACTGGGACACGAGAAAAAATGTCTTCCTTGGTTAGGACCCGGCTTGGACACAAGGAGAAGCTTAGCTCTTCGTCCACAGTCGCAAAGGGGAGGAGTCTTTTTAAAACCCTGAACATCAGATAACGAGACATTAAATTCAGATCGGTTTAACTCACTGTTCTGAATGCAACTAGTAGACATATCTGACAAACCACCTCTACTGTTGTTATTGCAGCTCACTGGTGTTTCAATACTGGTGTAATTTAATAGCTTTGGTGTACCTGTACCAGAAGGTTGTTTCGGTGTATTTGAATTATCAATAGCTGAGGTCTTAGATGTCTTTGAAATTAAACTTTTTATTTTGCAAAATGCAAGATTTGGCACTTTAAACACTTCACTTGAAGAGAATGAATTTTGATTTGAATTATTTTTATCATTGTTATTCTCACTAACAAGAGACCTATTTCCGCAATGCTCTATCTTTTCAAACACATTTCCTGCATCACTCATAATATCCTGAAAGCCAAGATCAAAACTTATGGCATCTGAATTTATTTCTTTGTAACTTTGTACACCACAATCTGTAGGCACTGAAGAAGAATGGCCCTGATACACTACGTTAGAATTTCGTAATTGTTTTCCTTTAGCGGTTTCTTCCGGTACAGGTGGTAAGTCCTGGGTCTTTTGTTTTCTTTTTAATCCAGTGTTTTCTTGATTGCCGTCGGACTTCCTCTTCCCTATAGCTGTCACCTGGTTAAAGATTTTCTGTGCTGCTGCTTTCATGGAGAATCCCTGTTTGATTATGAAGAAATTTAGGATAATATGTACAATCTCGTCCACTTCCAAGATTCACCACTCAGTTCATGAACAAACAGTTTTGATTCCAGTTTCTGAAACACATGCCAGTGCGAGTTACGGGCATGTGTTTTAGGCATAATATTTGAAATTGGTAGTTCATGCTAGGCAGTAAACTTAATAAGGGAGGGGAAGTATCAGAAATGAAAAATGATAAATAATGGCCTTACTTAAGTTAAAAACATTTTATTTGATGACACATTAAAAAATAAATATATAGAATTTGTGATCAATGACATAAAATTATATTATCACAATCAGAGACAACATTAAGAATCATTCATCACTGAGTCAAAAACAATAATACTTTCTTTAAAATTGTTCTAAAATAAAGACACTTATGACTTTACCTATACTTTGCTTATATATATATATATATATATATATATATATATATATATATATATATATATATATATATATATATATATATATATATACATACACACACACACACACACACACAGTATTCTACAACTTATTAAAGAAAGTAACTTTCAAAACCCTTTCCTGCATAAATTCATTCACATGTCTTCAAAATTTTTATATACAAACATTATAATATAACACTACATTAATACATTATCTACATAAGGTATATTTATATATTTAAACACCTTTGATCATATGAGCATATCTTAACAGTTATTAAACAAGGTAAAATACAAAAGGAATCTTTAATCTTAATATCTGACCTTAGTTTTGGGTACTAATGTCTTGGTGATAGTCAAGACACACCCATCCCGCACCATACGTGAAACAAGTGCAGCAGTGTTACGTGTATCGCAAATCCCCGAATGCTCTCTGCCTTCAAATGCAATTCCCAAGTCCTTAAGGGCCCCAGCAAGACCCTGGGGACGTCGCTGATAAAAATTCTGTAATGATGGAAAGTCTTTTCTAATGCCATTGCTGGTTTTAAGATATTACTTAAAATATAAAACTTTTGATTAATTTGCTTATAATTGTATATTACTGCAGTAATTAGTGAATAAATAACAGGCTTAACATTAGCTAATACTATAATGTGTTAAATATCAACTATAAGTTTAATTAAGGCATGATTTTATTATTTTGGTTGAGGAAAGAAATAAAATATCTTAATTCTTGAACTTCTAGTAAGCAACATTTGCACTGCCTAAAAAAACAATAATTAAAGAAATCTTAGCTAGTATAGCATACTGAATTAGTTTATGGCCAAATAAAAACATCCTTTACATACCTTATACACTGCACGAATATCTATCCATTGATTAAAAAATTCTGGCTTTCTCAGGTTTTTTCTTTGGCATTCATACTGTAGACATACACCCAGATCCCAGTCTGTTTGAAGAAAATTGTAATGCATGAAGAAAAAGCTATAACTTTAACAGATAGCACTGCAGCATCAAGTTATATTTCAAGTTGAGTTTAAAAAGACATGAAGTCATACAAGTTGGAAAATCTAAAAATCAGCAATATATAGTCTTAAATACATGAGGCAACGTATATCTGACACAGTAACTGCGATATACAGCATTTTATCCAAAAATTTTAGAATCACAAATCAAAATTCTTATCAAAAGCGACAAGAAATTGTTTTGTCTAATTTAAGGCAAGATTACTTAATTGCACATTTCTCTTGTTAAATCACATAATCAGATGCAGACTTACCTGACCATGTAGCAAATGTAGCACGTTTGCCCGAGACATTAGCGTTGAACGTTACTTTGTACTCTTCACTCATCTTCCGAATCCACTTTGAAAACATGTAGAGACAGGCGCCAAGGGGAATTCCATTGTCAACCTGCTCCTGTGTAATGCCTGCAGAGAATAAGAAATTCATTCTACCAGATTTTTTTTTAAATATCTATAATATATACATATATATATATATATATATATATATATATATATATATATATATATATATATATATATATATATATATATATATATATCTATTCATTTATCTATCTGCACATATAAATGTGTATCTTTATATTAATATTATAAGTAGCTTTCATATTCTGTTGTTAATTGATTTTATTTATATCTTTTCATAGGTATTCTTTATCTACTGATTTGTTAATTGATTTTATTTATCTGTCTTTTTAGAAAAAGTAAGCTGTCAGTACAGTAATATCAATCTACCTGTAAGTTTTGTACAGAATGCTGATAAAACAGGCTGTTCTGTAGGCATAACATATTGCTGAAACTCTGACACAATCTTCCCATTATAAACATCAAGAAGAACAGCAGGAAATTCAATAATCTCTTGCCCTCCGAGGCGTGGGCCATTTTCCCAACACGTCGACTCGAAATCCAAAACAACAATGTAGTCAAACTCTTGTTCTGGAAATAAAAAAAAATTATTAATGAAAAGAATAGAATATACATTATATATTGCAGGCTTAAACTTTGCAAAAAAGAATAATATCTTGACTGTAAATACATGTGCAAGCATATGTGCATTGGTTACTTTATAACAAATATCAACTCCACATGTAATATCATATTCTATATATCATCTAACAGCCATATTAAGATACCTACTTGTTTTTGGTATTTTGTTAATGACACTAGTCTTTATCTGCCTCTTTTGCACCAAACCAAGCTCTCTGTCAAATATCAGAAAGAAAAATGAGTATACTGACTGAGCAGACTTTGACAGGCCATCCAATTAAAAGGTCTTGGGAGGGGTTTCAGTCCCACAATAATAAGAATAATGTAATACATGTAACGTACCAGTTGTGTGGTAGTTTGGAAACTGATCAAATATAATAAGGAGTCAAAATATCATTAGCGTTTGGTTATTTTACCATGACAAATACTGCCGGTCAAATAGTATTCCAAAGACAAAGATACTGATAATTGCTAATTCTGTACCGTGACTGCTATCTACTACACAACCAGAATATTCACAAGAAATTTACGATGACAGGCTATCACATCAGAAATAATAGAAAAACTGTCTATTGTCGTCTGACGAGAGGTATATGGTTCCTTCATTTCCTTACAAAGCCAAACGTTTGGTCGCCATTATGGACTTCTCGGTCTTTCCCGGGTCTTGCCTACACTGAAATTCATCATATTGTGGTTTATCTTGTTAGAAGAAAGCCAGGCATAACTGCAGACACAACTCCAATTGAGCAATCGGGAGCATACATCCAGCCACGGAATACACTTTTTAAACGTTAGCGCCAATGACAACGAGTGTAAATGTTTTTTTTTTTGTGTGCTTTCGAGTAAAGGATGAAGACAATTTCATCTTAGAATAACTTGAAATCTAATTGTTTTATTTGTTGTAATCGTTTGGTAATTGTAAAGTAATTGTGGGTTTACAGTTGATTTTTTTTAATCATATATTTTTTTTATGAATATTTCGTATAGTTTCACATATGTGTAGGCATTTCTCAACCTGTCCATTCTCTCTCTCTCTCTCTCTCTCTCTCTCTCTCTCTCTCTCTCTCTCTCTTCTCTCTCTCTCTCTCTCTCTCTCTCTCTCTCTCTCTCTCTCTCTCTCTCTCTCTCTCTCTCTCTCTCTCTCTCTCTCTCTCTCTCTCTCTCTCTCTCTCTCTCTCTCTCTCTCTCTCTCAGATAATATAATGAGAGCAGAGACGGGATTGCAAAGCATTGTCCAGAGAGTGGGAGAGATCAATGCAATAGCGGCCATCAGGTTAATGAGAGGGACTAGTGGCAAGAAATTAGTGAGAGATATGGCCAGCGGTTTTAACAACATGAGATCATTTTATAGGCAAGGCAAGCGAGGATATATGAAGGAACTGAGAAATAGCATTCAATATTATGACCAGAAGGATTATTGTCATTCTCATCAGACACCTCCTAAGGTGCCGCCATGGGAGGATCAGGATATTAACATAGATGTAGACCCTCTCTCTATGAATAAATCCATGTATGAACCAGGTCAACTTAAAGCAACGTACAGCCATAAAATAAATAGTCTAACACGACTTGACATCGCTCATGTTTACTGTGAAGGGTCAGTCCTGGAAGATGGCAGAGCTGGGTGCGGAGTCATCATCAGACAGTTCACTGGGAGCGGAGTGGTCACCACAAGCACTGGGATGAGACTGATAAATCACATATCTTCAACACAAGCTGAACTATGGGCAATACTGACGGCGCTTAAAGAGATTGAAATCATTAATAAGGATTCCTACTTCTTTGTGGACAGCAGGGGAGCACTGGACTCACTTAACAGCAAGAACCCTGTGTTTGACCACACAGTTGGCGAGTGTCGTTTGATAGCTCATAGGTTGCGAGGTCAAGGGCGTGTGATTGCATTTGTGTGGATCCCTTCGCATGTAGGTGTCACCTTCAATGAAGCTGTTGATGAGATCGCCAAGGGGGCGACCAGGAAGCATGAGGTAGAGATCCACTGCATGCGGACTCTTAAACAGGCAAAGAGCAATATCAAGAGGACACAGTTAGACTATGACGAGGCCAGGAAGGGCGAAGCGATTAGGAAAAGCGATACTCTGAGACACTATATGCATCTTGCGACGAACACAGACTTTGCTTATGGGAAGGGCAAGAGCAAATGAAAAGACAGTGTGTACATGAGAATCAGGCTTGGATAAATACTATTATTGGGAGTTAGGCGTTCCAGCGAGCGAGGAAGAAAAAGAATGCAGGGTGTGTAGTTTACCTAGATCACATACATTGACGCATTATATAATACAGTGTTCTATGCTTCAGACACATAGAAATGCAGAGATAACAGGTTTACCTGAACATGCTGTATGGATGATTAGGAACGGTCAGGTATTCGAGATTTTGAAGAGGTACAGGCAATTTGCACCAATATCATAAACATACCTCGCAAATATGCATAGGTATGTAGGCTGTTACTTCTGCCGAGACTATAATGTCTCCTACTCTACTGTTGATGAATGGCATATGTTAGGCATCATTCTCCTGAAAGACAATCATTCCACTCAACAATTGATTCATCTCTTCTCCGGGATTATAATTATATATTGCGTGCGCATATTTTTTTGTGCGCTGTATTTGATTATGTAAGCCCAGGAGAGGACTTATCTGGATGAGGGTGGGAGTGTTATATCACCTTAAAGATGACTCTTGTAATGCTTGTAATTCTTTATAATGTAAGTGCTGTATTTAATTTTAAATATTATTGTGCCTAAGCTTTGTATATGAAATGTGAGCCCGCACAGGGACTTATTAAGTAAGGGTGAGGATAACCTAAGTTACCTCATCCTTTTGAGATGTAATCTTACTTTTGTCTCAATAAACGTGTCAAAGTCAAAGTCTCTCTCTCTCTCTCTCTCTCTCTCTCTCTCTCTCTCTCTCTCTCTCTCTCTCTCTCTCTCTCTCTCTCTCTCTCTCTCTCTCTCTCTCTCTCTTCTCTCTCTACTCTCTCTCTCTCTCTCTCTCTCTCTCTCTCTCTCTCTCTCTCTCTCTCTCTCTCTCTCTCTCTCTCTCTCTCTCTCTCTCTCTCTCTCTCTCTCTTCTCTCTCTTCTCTCTTTCACTCTCTCTCTCTGTCTCCCTCTCCCTCTCTCTCTCTCTCTCTCTCTCTCTCTCTCTCTCTCTTCTCTCTCTCCTCTCTCTCTCTCTCTCTCTCTCTCTCTCTCTCTCTCTCTCTTCTCTTTCTCTCTCTCTCTCTCTTTCTCCTCTCTCTTTCTCTCTCTTGTCTCTCTCTCTTCTCTCTCTTCTCTCTCTCTCTCTCTCTCTCTCTCTCTCTCTCTCTCTCTCTCTCTCTCTCTCTCTCTCTCTCTCTCTCTCTCTCTCTTCTCTCTCTTCTCTCTCTCTCTCTCTCTCTCTCTCTCCTTTTCTCTCTATTCTCTCTATATACATACAGAGATGTATATATAAATGTATATATATACATATGTATATATAAGTATATTACATATATATATATATATTTTATATAACAGATGTATATATAAATATGTATATGTATGTATGTATGCATATGCATATATATGTACATATATACACAAATGTATGTAACATACACACACACATAAATGTGTGTATGTGTAATGTACGTGTGTGGTGTTG